TGCAATAAAATCATTGTGGAGGTAACATTAAATAGAACATGTCATGGTCAGATGGAAATGAATATGTTGATTTCCATGCTTGCAGCTGACTCAGTAATTTTATGGTCTGTAGCTGCTTGGGGCATGTCCTTTGTATAATAGAACAGTGATTATTAACAAGATTGAAGGCTGTTATAATGGATACAAAAAGAGGAAAGCTGAACAGAAAACACGAGATATACACACGAAGTCTCTCAGCATCTGGAGAGAGGTAAACAATTTTGTGAGCAAGTGGGCTTTTAATGAATTCCATATTAATTTAGCTGTTCATATTGTGGTGAGGTTGGTGTGTATATTCATTGGCTGATATTTTTATTTCAATATATTGTGATGCTGTGCTCATAATTGAGCACATGAAGTGTAGTGGGGAGAATAGCAAACAATATAAAACACTTTTTCACTGTATTTTGTAACAATACACACTCAACAATAAATAAATCAAATCAAATGTTTACTTTCTTTTAAAATTTCAATAGGCACCATACTTGGAAATCAAGAAACAAATGGACAAGCAGGATCCTCTGGCACATCCTCTGTTACAATGGTACTTTTATTTAAATGTTGAACAATAAAATCTTAGGGAAGGAATAAGCATGTTTCCTGTAGCCCTTCAGTTTCGTCTGCTCAGATTTGAGGACTTAAATCAGTCTGACTACGGTAATGAGCAGTGGTCCGAAAACTTATGATTTCAAACAAACCTGTTGGTCTATAACTTGGTGTCGTGTGACCTCTGTTTTTGTCCAACACCCCAGTCCAACTCCACATCGTGATAGTAATACATGTTTCTCACATTTCCTCATTTCAGCTGTCCAATCAGATTTGGCCCATTAAATACTATCACTGTTTTTTTGTTTACAAGTAATCTGAGGAGGGTTAATGTATGAATTGGACTAAAAAATCATTTATTACAGTCCAATTTTCTGACCTTCATGATAGGAGCCTGTAGGAGCGAGAGTTCCCTGACCAGGGACAAAGACTCAGGAGGCAGACAGCATTCAGGCATGTAGCGGATTTTTATTCAAACAAAAACTGGTTAATGCAGGGAGAGGGCCAAAGGATTTGCCCTGAATCTGGCTTTGATGTGAAAACACGACCGTTTTCTTAATCTTCAGGTCAGATTGGAACAGAGATCAATGACACACGCTGATTTTACAGTAAAGAGCAGTGAGGAGCTCGAACAGTTCATACACTTCATTAACACCTTCCACCCCAACCTTAAGTTTACCTGGACCATCTCTAACACCTCTCTCCCCTTCCTGGACCTCTCTGTCTTCACATCGGGCAACCACCTAGAAACCGATATTCATTTCAAGCCCACCGACTCCCACAGCTACCTAGAATACTCCTCCTCCCACCCACCTTCCTGCAAAAATGCTATCCCCTATTCCCAATTCCTTCGCCTCCGCCGCATCTGCTCCCAGGATGAGGCATTCCACTCCCGTACATCTCAGTTGTCCTCGTTTTTCAAGGACCGTAACTTCCCCTCCTCGGTGGTCGAGAACGCCCTCAACCGTGTCTCCCACATCTCCCGCACCTCATCCCTCACACCCCGTCCACGCAATAAGAACCAAAAAAGAATCCCCCTCGTCCTCACGTACCACCCCACCAACCTCCGGATCCAATGCATCATCCTCCGACACTTCCGCCATCTGCAATCCGACCCCACCACCAAAGACATCTTTCCCTCCCCACCCTTATCTGCTTTCCGGAGGGACAACTCTCTCCATGACTCCCTTGTCCGCTCCACACTCCCCTCCAGCTCCACCACACCCGGCACTTTTCCCTGCAACCGCAGGAAGTGCTACACCTGCCCCCATACCTCCTCCCTCACCCCCATCCCAGGCCCCAAGAAGACTTTCCACATCAAGCAGATGTTCACCTGCACATCTGCCAATGTGGTATACTGCATCCGCTGTACCCGGTGTGGCTTCCTCTACATCGGGGAAACCAAGCGGAGACTCGGGGACCGCTTTGCAGAACACCTACGCTCGGTTCGCAACAAACAACTGCACCTCCCAGTCGCGAACCATTTCAACTCCCCCTCCCATTCCTCAGACGACATGTCCATCCTGGGCCTCCTGCAGTGCCACAACGATGCCACCCGAAGGTTGCAGGAACAGCAACTCATATTCCGCTTGGGAACCCTGCAGCCCAATGGTATCAATGTGGATTTCACAAGTTTCAAAATCTCCCCTCCCCCCACCGCATCCCAAAACCAGTCCAACTCGTCCCTGCCTCCCTAACCTGTTCTTCCTCCCACCTATCCCCTCCTCCCACCTCAAGCCGCACCTCCATCTCCTACCGACCAACCTCATCCCGCCCCCTTGACCTGTCCGTCCTCCCTGGACTGACCTATCCCCTTCCTAACTCCCTACCTACACTCACCTTTCCTGGCCCCATCCCCGCCTCTTCGACCTGTTTGTTTCCTCTCCACCTATCCTCTCCTCTATCCCTCTTCTATCCGCCTCCCACTCTCTCCCTATTTATTTCAAAACCCCCTTCCCCTCCCCCTTTTCTGATGAAGGGTCTAGGCCCAAAACGTCAGCCTCTCTGCTCCTATGATGCTGCTTGGCCTGCTGTGTTCATCCAGCCCTGCACCTTGTTGTCTCAGTGAAGAAGGTTATCTGAGTTTACAAAGCAATCTTGTTCAATTGGACCAATGGGCTAAGGAGTGGCAGATGAAGTTTAACTTGGATAAATGTGAGGTATTGCATTTTGGCAAAACAAACAAGGGTTGAATTTATACAATTAATGGTAGGGCCCAGGATAGTGCTATAGAACAGACAGGCCAAGGGGTGCTGTGTCTAGTTCTGGTCACTCTGTTATAGGAAGGATATTATTAAACTGGAGAGGGTACAGAAAAGATTCACCAGAATGTTACTGGGAATGGAGGCTTTGAAATATAAAAATAGGTTCGAAAGACCAAAATTTTTTTTACTGGAGCACAGGAGGTTGAGGGTGAACTTATAGAGGTTTTTAAAATCATGAGGGGCATAGGTAAGATGAATAGCAAGTGTCAGTTGGGGTGGGGGAGTTCAAAACAAGGGGGCAATTTTTAAGGTGAGAGGTGAAAGATTTAAAAAGGACACGAGGGGCAACCTTTTTATGCAGAGTAGTTCACGTATGGAATGAACTGCCAGAGGAAGTGGTGGATGCAGCTACAGTTATAACATCTAAAAGACATTTGGATAAATTCATGGATAGGAAAGGTTTGGAGGTATATGGACCAAGAGCAGGTGGGGGTGGCTAGTGAGTTTGGGATTATGGACTGGTTGGACCGGAGGGTTTGTTTCCGTGCTGTAGAGTATGACTCTGTGATCATTGGAAGGAGCACAATTGAAGAGAAAGAAATCATGCAGGAGCAGGATTTCTAGCTGTGCATTTTTCCATGTGGTACATTTTGTTAATCAGGGGGTGAAGGGTTTTCTGACATAGTAGACTGGAAGGAATCATTTCCATTGGCAGAAAGGACAGTAACCAGAGGGCACAAATTTAAACCCAACTGGGAAAAAAAATTACGGCGAGATTAGGAGTATAGATTTTTTGAGCAGTAATTTACCAAAACCTGGAATCTGCTGCTCAGAAGGGCATTGGATGCAGACTCAGCAGTAACTTGAAAAGGGGAAGTGGGTATATGCTCAAACAAGGGGAAAAGAAATGTAGAGCCATAGAGACAGAGTAGAGAACTGGGAATAGTTGCATTATTCTCACAGAAAGCCAGGATAGGCACAATGGCACGAATGGCCTCCTCCTATGCTAAGTACCTTTGAGAGGTTGTTTCAAAAACGACGATTGTTTTATTTGTATCTGCAAAGAATTACATGGCATGCGGATCACTTTGTAAATCTGTGGCTGGAGTGAATGGACCATTTTTGGCAGCATCTGCAGCCATACAGCTGTCTAATTATGGCCACGCAGTGCAACACTCACAATTAAAGCGATCTAGACTCTGGCATTTAGAATAGAATGGTGTGCTTAAATGTGTAACTCATCACAAGTAAAGTCATTCAAGAGTACAGGCATCCAAACGTTGAATAATTGTTTGTATTATTTTGTTAGTTTAAACCTTACAGTCGTGCTTATAATAGAAGAATGGATTTTATAGACTTGCTGTCTCCGCATTATTAAGGTTACAGAAACTGGATATCCAAGTGACTACACACTCCATTCAAACGACCATTATTGTTTTTGAATGCTATAGATTAAGACTTACAAAGTCATTACAAATGGGACTCAGTTAAAACAAAACATGAAGGGTAAACAATTCCACTATTTCCTTCAGTTTAGAACCCATAGTTACACTGCCTTATAAAACACATAAAGAAACAATCAGATAGGATTTTGTCAATCTCCCAAAGTTCACAAGAACAATCCTGTCACAAATTAGGAATCCCTCTGTCAAAGGGTGTTTGTCCTTATCTATAAGTGAGATCTCTTCTTTGTTATCCCATTGTCGTAATCCAATATTGAGGCACAACGAGGTTGTAGACTTGCCAGTGTGTTTGGTTGCAGATGTTTCATCACCCTGCTAGGTAACATCGTCAGTGTGCCTCCGGTGAAGCGTTGGTGTTCTGT